CTCACATTGATGTTTCTTTCCCTTTCTTTCTCCCTGACTCACCCTCTCTCTAAAAATAAATAAATAGAATGTTTTTTAAATAATAAAATAAAATAAATGGCTGGCAAAGAGAAAAGTCACTAGTAGGAATCAACAACAAATAAGTGTATAAATAAAATTTTTCAATTGTACCTGTCCAGCATATATTATCTAGCATATCTCTTATAAACTCTGAAAGTGGGTAAAAAATGGAATTATGCCCAAGGTAGTGGATTTCCTCCTGTCCCGCAAAGGTCACATGTGCCACCGCTGAAAACTCCCTGCAACGAGCTGCTGTTCTGGGAGCTCCCTGAGGAGCTGGGGCCTTGGGGGTCCTGTCTGAGCCTACTGTTCTTGAACTTGAGGTCCAAATGAAAGCAATCATTACAGGGTCCGGCCAGCGAAGGATTCACAAGATTTCTGAACAGCAGAAATGGTCTATTGTTAAACATAAGTGTGGGAGAATAATCCCTGAAAGGGTTTCTCCTACTCAATTTGTGTGCGAAGGACCCACTGATAACCACTAGCAGAGCCTTCCAAGTTCTAGGAATAGAAACATAACGGAGTTGTACTGTTCCAAAGAGGCGCACTAGTACTTCAAGGGCAACTTGACCTGATAGTGTAGAACATCTATGCAACCCTCGCCTGCTGATGGTTTTATTGAATGCAGCCAGTCATTGCCTTAGAAAGTCAGCAGCTAGATCAAGGAAATGGGCCGGTGTGAATTTACAACAAAGGCTCCCATCTTTTTATTGTAAGTTTATCTTAGAAACGTCCTAATTTTATGCCTAGTGCTACCTCTCTGATCACACCAGAAAGCCCAGTAGGCCCCTTCCAGCCACAAGAAGTGAAATAATGTACCCGGAAACCTCCACCGCCGCCCTGGCTCACAGGGAGACAAAGCTGCCACTCTGTGGGCAGCTCCTTCTCAAACCTAGCCTGGCAACCAAAGGTCCTATGCTTTCCACCAAGGAAGTTGCTGTGGCCAGCTGAGCTGCAGGTCATCCCTGCACATTATGAGACATGATCACCCAGAAGCCTGAACCAGAGTGCAGAGAAGGTGGCAGAGTCTTTGCGGCCCCCAGAGGTACCCCAGGGTGCTGCTCCAGGTTCACAATAACTGCTCCTCCCCCACAAACCACCCTGTAAGACAGAGAGCAGCCCTCTGGGAATGAGAGAGCAGGCCTTCCTCTCTACTCAGGCTGAAACACTGAGCACATCGTCACCTTGCCATGTCTCAACCCATTCTCTGAACCCTGGCTCAGGAGAATAAATCAAATGTATTCTGTGAAATGTAGCATTATTGCTGTGACTGAACCATGAAATTTCTCCTTCTGTTTATTATTATTAATAAAATGCTATAAAAGGATTAAGCTATATTTGCAGGAAAAGTGCAGGAGATTAAAGTCTTTTCCACACATTTAAGATTAGGAACCTATAATAAAATTGAGCCGGAATACTTTCCCTGCAACCCGAAGAAATCCCTTTGAGAGTCCCTTATGGATAGATACTGTGTTGGCATTTGATTAACTTGGTTACTAGGTTCCACTACAAAGTCCCTCTTTTCAACCATGGATGACCTTCCTCTGCCTCTTGTTGATTTGTACTTGACACTCTCTCATACCACAGCCCAGCTCTTTTCCTCTGTTACAAGCCTTTTCCTCCCCACAGGCAACCCTGTCCTCTCCTTCCCTGGAACTAAATTGAACTGACTGACTAGAGTGTTCCCAATCCTGCCCTCCACTCACACGGTGTCCACACCTTCTCCCCAGGGTATAAAAGGTGTCTTTTCACACCGCCAAGGCTATTCCCCACCAACCGTACCATTGATTCTATTTGCTTTCCTCCCTTGGGTGCCTTAGCCCGTCAGAAAGCCTTCACCTCTTCCCCCTTCAGCCTCATCCTCTCTGAAAACATGCACAAATATACCCTAGGAAGCCTACTCCGACCTCAGAGATTTCAAGGACTTCTTATCTTATATTTCTCACTCCCTTCGTCACCAATATTCTTGAAAGGATTCTTCATTGATTTACTAAATATTTATTGAGCTCCTTCTACTTTGTGGCAAGCATTTGTTAGATGTTAGGACATAATGAAAAATAAAGACATGGTTCCTCCTTCTAATAAAGAAATGAAGGACCCTTCCACCAAAGAAAAACACAGCAAACTACCACGTGTGACGAGTACTATAGGAAACAAGCAACCGAAACTGAGATGAACAGAGGTCCTATTGTGAACAAAGTAGGTAGGGAAGGCCTCTCTCTAATGGTGTGTTATTTTGCATAAGACCTGAGGGATAAGAAAGAACCCTGGGAAGAGTGGGGAGAAGAACAATTCTGGCTGAGGATAGGCTGAGGCAAAAATAGCCTGGGCTGTTTGAGGAGTTGGAAGGACACTGTGGTTAAAAAATAGTGAGCAAGGGTGAAATCAGAATGCTCTTGTGGAGGCAGGTGGAGACCAGCTCATGTAGTCCATAGCTAGGAGCTTAGAATTTATTCTGAGTTTAATGAGTAACCACTGGAGGATTTTTAGAGGACAATGATAAAATGATACCCCTTGCAGATGTGTGGACAAGGAACCGGAGGGAGGCAAGAGCAAAAACTGAGAGAGCAATTAAGCGGCTGCAGCAGCAACCTGCCATGCATGGTGGCAGGGAATACATAGTGAACGGGATAAGTTTGCAGTATTTCAGGGAAGTAGACTCGATGGGACTTGCTGATAGATTCAGTGAGGGGAGTGAGGGAAAGGGGCAGCTAGTATGGCTGGGAGGCTCCTGACTTGAGCACCAGGAGAAAGGGTGGTGCTCTGGACGAGGATGGGAGGGGACACGCTGGGGGAGTAACAGGTTGGGAAGAAGCGAAGAGTGTTTTAAACATGCCTAGTTTAACTGACTGGGCAACACCCAAATAGAAAAATCAAGTGCAGGTATGTGAATCCAGAGCTCAGAAGAGTGGTCTGGCCCGAAAGTATAAAATTGGTGTGTTCTGCATTAAAATAGTATTTAAGTCCATGAGAATATTTAAGATCACCTGGAAAGAAGAGTAAAAAAAGAGAGAACAGAACAGAAAATATAATGTCAAGGAAAAACAAAATAGAAGAAAACCTAGAAACAAACCTCAGGAATGCAATATTCCAAGGTTGACTAGAGGAGCAGGAGTCGTGTAAAAGGCGCCACCGATGATATAAAGAAAAAATCACAGAAGGGAGGAGAGAGGAGGGGTTCTTGGCAGGGGTGTTCAGCTGAGCAGTACGCTTCCAAAAGGTCTGGCATCATGGAGTTTCTCTCTCTGTCATTTCTGCACCTCACAATGTTAGCCCTCCTTCAAAGCCCAGGTAAGGTGGCATGACCAAAGCAACCGCTGACTTAGAAATCACCAGCGACCTTCTATCTCTGTATCAACATCTTTTCTCAGTCTCCTTGTTATCTATGTACCTATGACATCACCTGGCTTCTTTGTAAAACTTTTTCTTCTCTATTAAGTTTCCATTTGTATTAATAATTTCTAGTATTCCTACTTTTTAAAAAATTATTGTCCTTTGACTTCACTTTCTCTTCCATCCCTTAAATGTCTGTGTTTCCTGAGGTGTCTTTGGGCCCCTTCTTTGAATGCTTTGCAATCTCATTTATTCGCAAAACTTTAACAACCACCCTGTGCCTGAATTCAAAACCCCAATCTCATGCCAAACCCAATCTCTCTCTCTCTCTCTTCCTCTCTCTCAAAACTCAAGTTTTTTATCTCAATTTCTTGCTCAACATTTATGGATCAGAGACATACTGACATTTTAAAAACCCTTCTTAAAACCGAACTCTTCATCTTTGATCCAGAACTTTCTCTTTTTCTTATCATATTTACTTTATGGTGCAACCATCTTCCCCTTGAAATTGTCAGGTCATCGTTGGTTTAGTCTTCCCCTGCCTCCCAGGCAGCAATCAGTGGTTTTCTATTGAACTTCCTAAACACATCTCTTTACCCTCCACTCCCATATTGTCTCACTGCTCCTGTTCCAGCTCAATTGCCCTTCATTCTGCCAGATCTCACAGCACCTCGTAGTCCTTGAAGAGGAGCTGAGACTGTTCTAAGGGCCATGGGAAGCGTCTGGAGCACTATGTCCACGGGAAAGACATGATCTAATCGTCATTTCCCAAAGGCATGCCCTGATCTGGTTAACCCGCCCTTTCACTGTTCCTCTCTAGACAGATCATGCTGCAGTCCAACTGAACGACTTACACTGTCCAGAACCTACCCTGCTTATTCTTACTGCTGTGCAGCTGGTCACCTGGCCCCCCACCCAGACCACCTCCTTTATCACTTCTGCCTCTCAAAATACTACTCCTTCTTCAAAGCTTAGGTATAATGACATCTCCCAGTAAAGCCTCTTCAACCCCCACCCACACTTGTGATTATCTGTTCTCTGAATCCCCATGGCAGATTAATTGTACATCCATAATAATACTTGTCTTCCCTTTTTGTGTTTTAATGATTTGTGTATGACATGTCTCCCTCTTATGCCATAAATATCTCAGGACGAGAACTATGTACCTCTTGTTTTTGTTCCACTACAAATCATAACACATACCTTGCATGCACCAGACCTTCAGGAAATGCCTGCCAAGGTAATAAATAAACAGCCATAATTAACATAAATTATTGTTTTGTGTACTGGTCTAGTACTAAATCCATGGTGCTATCATTTCAGTATCACTGATGGTTATCAACTTACTTAAGTAACCTTTCTTTGAATACACTTTAAAAAGATGGAAAATTGTGTTATAAAGGAGGACCAAGTATGTAGGTTATTCCCTATCTTAAACAAAGAGAAGTTCTGTTATGCGTCATGGAAAATTAAAGCACAGTAATAAAATGCGCCAACAAGACTTGCTGAATAATGATTTAGTGCAAACGCTGTTTTGCCTCCTGTTCATAGGTCCCAACTTTCCTCTCACGTACTTAAGCTGCACATTCTATTTATTTTGTTTTTAGATTACATTGACAACGATTGGCTATGGAGACAAAACTCCCCTAACTTGGCTGGGAAGATTACTTTCTGCAGGCTTTGCGCTCCTTGGCATTTCTTTCTTTGCACTTCCTGCCGTGAGTATCTTTGCAAAACTGAAGCAGTTCAAATTAGATCTTAGAGGTTTATTAGTGCGAGCTTTCACAAATGAATGTGCCCAGGAACCTATCTGTATCATGTACAAATATCATTTTTCTGATATAATGTTGGCTTTTCTACATATATCTATGTGGATAGTTTCTAAAATAGACTGGTAGTCTTCTCTTTGAGAAGCTTAACCAGGGAGTTTTATACCAGCAAGGTCTTTATGACCAAAGATTAATTCACATAACATCACCTTTCGGTCGACATGCTACTAATACATTTAGAATATTTGGTAAGATTTAAAGATCCCTTTTTCAACCGATGGCTCCACTTCGGTTCATGATGTGTGCCGCTGAAGAGGTGGGTGTGCACGAGCGGAGCATTCGCCTCTTCAGATCCATTTGAGTGGGGATTATATGACCTTAAAGGATTTTCAATATGTCAGATGATTTATTCTTTGTGTCATCATCATTGATTTTTTTCTTAATGAGCAGTTTCTGCATCTTATCAGAATGAAGAGCACATTTATCTTCTCCCAAGCTTCTGATTATTTTCTCCATAATGGATGAAGCTTGTCTTTCTGATCACTGTGTCTCCTCTTATTTCCTTAAAGGAAATTGGTCAAGATATTACAATTTGCCTCCATCCACAGGCTCTCACTTTTCTCACACCACTCTCGTGGGGGGAACAGAAACAACGCAAAGGGGTTTTTAAAGCAGTGGCAGCAGTTATGACCAAGGAAAAATACCCTGAGTCTTGCTCCAGACAGAGCTGACTGGTGTCATGGTCTCTGCCCAGGAAAGCCAGGGGAGGGTGGGTTTTCCGAGCCACAGCCTTGAGCTCGTGGGGCTCACTCTCCACCTGTGGACAAGCACAGAGGGAGCTCGTCCTCCCCATGGCCACTGCCCAACCCCTGACTGACCATCTGATTGGTTCGGCCCCAGACCACACAAAAATCACAGAGAACAGAATGAAAGGATCCATGCAGAAGCTTAAGCATTAGACTTTATTTTGAATTCTATTTTTGTCACCAACTACCTATGTCACTGTTTTAGTTTGCTAGGGCTGCTGTAGCAAGGTATCTCAGACTGGTGGTTTACCCAACAGAAATGTTTGTCTCACAGTTCTGGGTCCAAAGTCAAGAAGGTCACAGTGCTGGCCCTTTATGAGGGCCAAGACAAATGGATGTGCTCCTGGCCTCTTTCCTCGGTTTGCAGATGGCCACCTTCCCTCTCAGTCTTTACACTGTCTTCCCTCTGTGCATATCTGTGTCCAAATTTCTCTCTTAAGAACTCTAGTCATATTGAATTAGGGCCCACCCTTGTTGTAACTTCATCACCCCCATAACAACTGTATCTCCAAATAGGGTCACCGTCTAAGGTACTAAGGATTAGGACACCAACATATGAATTTTGGAGGGAAACAATTCGGCCCATGACAAACCTTGGGTATATTTATTTTTTTCATTACTTTATTGTTCAATTACAGTTGTCTGCATTTCCCCCCACCCCCCAGCCAAACCCACCTCCCTCCCTTGCTTCCACCCTCCCACTTGGTTTGTCCATGTGTCCTTTGTAGTAGTTCCTGAAAACCCTCCCCCGCACTGTCCCCTCCCCAATTTATTCACCAGAATAATGGAGGGAAAATTATTACACCTGAGAAATTTTGTGAACAACTATGTGATAACATCCCTCCTGTGCTTATCCTAAAAAACAAATAAATAAAATCCTTTTACCACATGAATCCAGATATATGTGTTTCCTGTTGGGAAATGCCTGAATCAAGGAGAGTCAAAACAACACCTCACGTATCCAAAGTCAAGTTACCTGGCAACCTCAGCAATTTAGAACGGAGCAGGAAGTCATTCAGTAATCAGATTCCTTACAGGGAAATAATTTCAGAAGCAATAAGATGCAATCTTGGGCTTTTCCTCCCAAAATAATGGCACAAAATACCTGCTGATTTTATGTTTATACTTAAACCTGAAGCCACATGTGTAAGAACTCTGATCTCATGAAAAACTACCAACAGGGAAGTGAGCAACCTCTGGGCTGTGAAAACCTCACAGGCCAGCCTCTTGAGACCTGTGCTTAACCTTTTCTTTACTTAGAGAAGATTTCAATAGTTTCACAATTCTTTGAAGATTATAATCAGGAAACGTAGAAGTAGGCTGATAGAACAAGCGCTACAATGGGAAGAGATAGTGAAAGACTAATAAAAGAAAGAAGATAGATCTGTAAGAAGCAAGCACACATAAGTGTCCCAAAAGTGTGAAGACCTGGGGCCAGTGAGTGTTAGAGCTAATACCCCTCTGGGTGCTGGCTGCCTCCGGCACAGAGAAGCACCTGGTCCCACCCCAAACTCCAGCCCACCCCAGGGGGGTTAAACTGTGTCACTCTGTTCAGTTCAAGATCAGAGACTAGATAATCGTTCTCGGAAATGTTCCCCAATAAAATGATTATAATTTTTATATATGCCAATTAAATTAATATAGTTTGGAAATCTCAAAACTAGCTTGCACAGAACAGAACATTCCCTAACAATGCCAAGAAAAATAAACTTTACTCTGGATCTTTTTCACTGCAACCTCACATTAGGTGTACAGTTCTTGTATATTTCATGAAAGCCTACATTGTCCGTGTATACCTTTAAAAAAAGGGGGTGGCTAGAAATGCCACTACATCTTGTACACCCACCAGCCAACACGCTGTTGGACTGAGATTTAGGACAGTGCGTTGGCACTTTGCTAAGGAAGTTACACGTGGGTGATCGGCCACCACCGCTTGGGGTTTCTCCCACCCAGGAAACCTGAGGGCCAAGAAAGAGAAGAGCCTTTTCCCATCTTTCCCTGAAAGCAGAAGGACTCTGCTGCACATCACAGAGCCATATAGGTCACCCTTCCCGAGCTCCGCTGGGAGGGCCCTGTCCCAGGGGCTCACAGCGTCCCAGGGCAAAGGAGCTGGCAGAGGCAGCCCCAGCTCTCCGGCACCGACCTCGGGGACAGTCGTGGTCCCCTCCGGGATGCTCCTGCCCTCCTGCAGGGCCTGTCTTTCAGCCTAGCCTGTTGGCCATGTGTGAGGTACAAATTAGGCTCATTTCACCTGTGAGATACCAGGGAGAGATATTTCAAATGTTTACTAAAACAGGTTTTCTTTCCGCTGGCTGTGTATGTAGCACCTCTTGGCATAATACTAAAACTTAAAAAATTTAAGCTCTGTGATCTCAGAAAATGGATTAAAATAAAACTCAGTTTCCAGGAATTTGTATCGGTTGGTATCACTATCTGAAGGGATGGCACATGAATTTTATATATATGTAAGTTATATGTGGGTGTATAGAAACTTACATTAGCATATACATAATAGACTTTATTTTAACAGACTTCCCATTAGGTTCACTATGCTGTATACTAAGAGAAGGGGAAGAAAATTGGAATGGAGCCATAATGAGATGATAAGCAGACCAGGTTTAATAGCTGTTATAATGTACAGTCTGGTGCAAGAGCTATGTAGCAAACATTTGCCATCGACTAATATACATTTCTAAGCAGTGCCAGTATGATTTTCAGCACATTTTACTTTGTTTGGCAGATGCTACATCTGTGATATGTAGGACCTGTCTTCATTTTTCAAAAGGGATTTAACTCCAAACTTCATATCCACATACCAAGTGTTTCAAAATGGTAGCTGTTGCTGTTAACTCAGTATCTACCAAATCTGAATTATGCCCCCATGAGTGGTCTTCACATAATGCATAGTATAAACACACGCTATAAATTCTAATGTTTCATACTCTCTCACCTATTTATACTTCATGAAAATTGACATTAAAAGGAAAGTAACTAAATCTTTCCCAAATGACCTTAAACAGCCAAGAAAAAAAATAGGAGTTAGGACTGACTTATAGTTGATCTGGATTTGGAAGTGGGGGGCCATTTTTATTACCTCTACATAGAGGGAAATGTTTAAATCTAAAAACAAGACCATGCAGTCCAGGTTTCTCCACGGTTTAGTTTGAGTGGTCACAACCTGTGTGAGATGCAGATCTTAGCAAGAGACGGTCTCTGAAAAAGAGATGGAAAACAGAACCTAGGACACATTTCTAATTCTGTGATACAGTCATCTATCCTAAGTAATAAGGAAGTTGATCATTGTTCATTAATAGCAAATAGTATTTGCATAGAACTGTATTTTAAACACACAGTAGTCCCCCCAAGCCCTTGTGAGCAGTTTCACTTTCTATGGTTTCAGTTACCAAAGGTCAATCTTGATTGGAAAATATTAAATGGAAAATTCCAGGAATAAACAGTGTATAAGTTTTAAATCCCATGCTGTTCCGAGTAGCACGAGGAAGTCTCCTGGCCCCGTGTTTCATCCTGCCTGGGACTGCCCAGCACAGCCACACTGTAAACCCTGCTGACCCATTAGCCACTCAGCAGTCGACCCTGTTATCAAATCAGTTATCAGACAGAGGAAGGCCACATTCCCATACCATATTATTGCCTATAGTTAAAATTGCTTTGTTTCATTACTGTTGCTGTTCATCTCTCACCGTGCCTAACTGACAAGTTAAACTTTAGCAGAGGTGTGTATGTGTAGGGAAAGACGCAGCACATAGAAGGTTCGGTACTATCAGGGAGTGGTTTTTGGCATCCGCCGGGGGTCTTGGAACACATCCCCGTGAATAACCGGGGGGACTGCTGTAATCACGTTATTTGTTCTCTGCTAATTGTCACAGATGTACTCCTTAAGAAAGGAAGTTAAAGTTTCTCTAGAACCCCAAAATATCTTAGCCAAGTTTTCATTCAGCTGAGACTTACCACCTTCTAGAGAGGAGAAAGCCTGTCTTCCCACCTTTCCTTTACTTTGGTAGGTGGAGAATTCTGGCACCATGAGGACTAAACTGGGACGGACTTTAAGTACCTTCCCCCCACCCTCCATTTCACAAATGGAAAATGTAGTCATTTCATCAAAATGCTAGAAAAACATGCCTGCAGCAGCAAGACTTGAACAGTTCCAGGTTATCATCCGTGGTGCCTCTGCTATGTCATCAGTGGCAATCAGTGGCGATGCCTGGTTGAGTTACTGAAGAACAGAAGTTGTTGTTCCTAGGTGGTCTTGCCCAACAACTTACCATTGACCACTGGTATTGTTACAGCAGTAAACAGTGTTTAAACAGCAGTAAACCGTGTTTGTTTTAGTAAGTAGTATTTATGAACAAATTGCAGATTGTTTGTCTTTTCTTAAACTCATTTTAGAGGTTTCTTTTTAATTTTTTGTAATTGCAGCAGTTCTTTTGGAAAAGCTTAAGTACTGTCTTTATATTTTTGGTCCAGGGCATTCTTGGCTCAGGTTTTGCATTAAAAGTACAAGAACAGCACCGCCAGAAACACTTTGAGAAAAGAAGGAATCCAGCTGCCAACCTCATTCAGGTAAATGTCGGTGTAATAGGTGGATGGCAACATCTGTCTCCGTATGTGCTTCCCAAGTCATTTTCTAATCTCTGTGCTTCATTGCTTTGTGAAGCTACTGTTTTGTTTGTTTTGTTTTTAAATGAAGCTAGACGCTAATGTACAGTCTTAAACTTGAGCAAGTGTCCCCTCCTAAACAAAAAAATAATATATATTTTTCAGTAAATGGTCCACTCACTGTTCAGGTTAATTAGCCATATCAGCAAGGCCAGGCAGCGGTTAGCAGCTATGTCACTCCTGGAATAACCTAATATGCCTTACGAATTACTCAGTGAAGTATAATTGATCGTTAGGTGACAGAGCAGAACACCGAACTGTTCCCTGTGTTACACTTACTTCCTCCAGCCAGATGAATGCCACTGATCTGCAGAACAATGTATTTATTTACCAATGTCCAGGTTTAGTACTGTGGAATCACTTTCAGTGCCATCTAGAGCATTAACTTGAAATAGTTAATGGTCTAGATAGTTCTTGTTTTAAGAACTGATGGGATTATGGAGTACCTCAGTGTTTGGAAACATGAAATTATAAGCATATTATTTGAAAGCTAACTCATAATACATAGGATGTTTAACATTTTCTTGTTTCTGTCTATAACTCAGGATTGGCTTCAGTACTAAAAGAAACACTCCTCCATTTGCCACCCTTATCTTTTGGGAGTAGCACGACCCTAGAACCAAATTGTTTACAAATCATAAAATACCTTTTCCCGCAGATCCACGGGGAGAGTTGATATTTAATTATGGACACAATGACTATACAATCCAGTTTCCTCCCTTTCTGCAAGCCAGTGGGAGATCCAGAGCTCCCGACTGAGAGGGTTTGGGCTGGCGATCCGAGCTGCTAGGAGGCTTGTCTTCATCTGTAGCAACTGCGTGTTGCTTCCATTTACACTGTAGGGCTAAACGGGTGGGTTGTTAGGGTGTGAAGTAGCTCCAAAGGAAATGGAGCAAGGGGAAGAAGTGGGTGAGAGTGGTTCACTTCGATTATGAAACAGATCTGTTTTGTATCTGATGACTAAGTGAGGATATCAGTTTTTAAATCAAGCTATTCCGCAACTATCGACAAGGAAATGGAGCATTGGGCATGACTTCTAATACAAACCACTGAAAGACTTTTTTTTAAATTTCCAAGGTTTAAAAGAGCACTAAAGATAGTGTACTCTCTGTTTTCTTGGAAGAGAAGATCTCCAAGTAGCAGGAGTTTAAGACCAGAAGCCAAATGATGCAAGAGGTGTCACACACTCTAATGTGCACCCAGCTGCCCTGGGGCCCAGAGCCGACAGCCTTCCATCCTCGGGTGGTTCTTAACTGGCAAAGGGGCGTTTCCATACTTCTAAAGAACTGTTCTCCTTACTATTTTTTATCTTTTAGTTATCTTTTCATTTATTTCTTACCCTTTGCATTCCAGAACAAAATTCTAAATTCCAACCTGCGTGTGTAGTGCTATTCCATGGGTTACTTGCACCCAGCCAGGCCAGGCACCACGCCCTGGCTGCGTGCGGGACCAACAATGCGCCTCACATACACCTAGCCTGCTTGCTCGTGAATAAAGACCGAATCTCTTTAAAACCCATACTGCCTTACTCATTAGCTTTTTATTGTATATTTTCCCAATCAACACCTACTCAAAATACAACCACTTCTGTGTATAGATCTTTGCTACTTCTAGATATTTAAAAAGGACTCTGTATCAAAAAACACCTTAGAATATTAGCTATTCTGTTAGAAAGTGAGCCCTGTGAGGAATTCCTGTGCACACATCCCTTGTGATGATACAGAGCTATGCTGCCCGATGCAGTGACCACTAGCTGTACATGGCTACTTAAATGAGAAAGTCAATTCCTCTGTGGCGCTAATCACGTTTCAAGTGTTCCATAGCCATCTGTGGCCATTGGCTATCCTATTGCATAAGGCAGCTATAGAGACTGATAGGAGGAACTTTCCTAACCTCACTTAGCATTACCAACTGCTAAATTGGGCAAAAACAATTTCCAGCTGAACTTGAAAACAGGTCAGTGCTCCTGGAGCAAACCACTGGCACAGACACATTGTGTGTCCGCAGCCACGGCAAGGCAAGGCTTTCCCCTTAGGTAACCCCTAAAAGGTGCAGAAGAGGCTGATTGAACAGTTTTGCCTGAAGATCTAAAATTTTGTTTTATGGAACTTGGTTTTGTAACCTATTGTGACCAATAACTGAACTGTATGAACATAAGTAACAATAAAGTGAAATTATTATTTTTTTCTTTTACTTAGAACTTTAGCTCATGTGTTGTTCTGAACAAAAAAATAAGACTGTAAGCTGAAAGGTTTGAAACACTGGAGAACACCTTTAAAATCTAATCATAATGTCACTAATCAAAGGAGAAGCTACTAATTTTTAAAAAGCAATTGTTTCCCCATCCAGACACAATTTATTTATTTATTAGTCATGGGAATAATAGTATAATTATTAAATGTACTCACTGTTCTTCCTTGCTGACCCTCAGCCTGAATTCAGGGCTTTAAACCTTGATTATATATCACAGAAACTGTTTGTAAAGATGCACTAGATTGAAAAGCAAGCTTCATTTGCTGATCCATTTATTTTCTTGTCCAATAAACCTGCCTTGGATTTCCAAACACGCCAAGCGTCAACAGCAAGAGCGATCTCATTTGTTTTAAGCTAGAGCCACTATCTTTCTACAAGGGCACTGAAATGCCCATATTGCTTTGTCATTTGGGTGGTGAGACGACGGAATTAACCAGCATTTCAGGGTTTTAGGAGAAAGTGCAAAGCCCACCCAGCAGCTTGCAGCAAATTTAGCTGGGTCAATATGTTTGCATGACTCATTAAATTAACTTTTCATTTCAAGCGGAGTAGTCCGGGAAAAGAAAGAGCTCTCACCAACGTTTTGAATACCCTCCCAAATGTCACAACTTTTATTAATAATACCCAGCACTTATGAAGTGTTTTTTAGTTTGCCAAATGTGTCTAATACATTAATTATGTCGCTTGATCTTAGAGACAGGCCTAGAAAGAGCTAAGGCTTAAATCCCTGATGTCTGAACTTGAATCTGTTGCTCCTTTCATGCAGCAGCAGCTGCATGTTAGAGATTTACTTCCGGAGACATTGGGCTTGTTCAGGGTGGAGCTAAGATGCTTTACTAGAAACAAATCAGGGGAATTAAGTGAAAGTCTGTGAAATAAATGCTGGCAAATGGGCTTATTTCATGGAAGGGAGAGATTAGAAGATGCTGCTATAAGGAAGCTAGTGGCCCACAAGGAGAAATATATCTATCTGTCCAGAAACTTTGGCTTTAACTAGTAAAATAACTGTATTTTCACTCAGTTACCTTAAAGTAAGGCCATCAGTCAATAAACTCAAACCACTTATATAGCACTTATACATCTTTTTAGTGCTTCAGTCATAAATAAGAGCAAATTTGGGGCGGGGGGGGAGTCCTGGTATAAAAAATATAACAGTAGAAGAAGAGAAAACATAGGAATAGGATAGTTCTCCTCTATCCTATTCCTATGTTTAGGAACATAGGATAGAGTAGTTAAAATCTTCTAGAAAGTAGAATAAAAACACAGAGATGGAAAATGAGACAAAAAAGATAGGAAACTTGGATAACCGATTCAGGAGACCAAATATCCAAGTAACATGAGTACCTCAAAAAGAGTGTGGGGAAACTCAGGGGAGGATTCATCAAAGAGATGTCATATCATTATTCTCTGAAACAGAGTGGCCACCATAAGCAGGCCCACCAAGTGCCCAGCCCTGTGATAAAAAAAAAAAAATAAAAAAAACTTCACACTCAGGATACCAGAGTGAAATATCAAAACACTCACAAAACACATTGATCTTAGGATCAAATGCCTTCTGGGAAGGACATATCCCAAGGGTCAAGGATCAGAGCTGTGCTGGATTTCCTCATTAGTAATGCTAAAATTAAAAAACGGCAGAGCAGAGAAAATGGTTTCCAATGTAGAATTCTATACACAGCCAAACTAATTATTGAGTTTAAGAGTAACATAAAGACATTTTTAGATGTGCAAGATCTGAAAACTTTATCTTCCATTTACCCTTAGTAAAGAGGCTATTTTGTGTGTGTGTGTGTGTGTGTGTGTGTGTGTGTGTGTGTGTGTATCTCATTTTTCCCCATGTGTCCTCTGATGGACACTTAGGTTGGTCCAGGTCTTAGCTACTGCGAATATTAATTAGTCTTAGCTAATGCTATAATGAACATAGAAGTGTAGATATATCTCTTTGATGCCCTGTTTTAATTTCCTTTGGATATATTTTCAGAAGTAGGAATTTATTTTAGGAATCTTTATACTGTTTTTCATAGTGGGATATATATAAATTTAACCACGAAAAATAAGGAAATCCTGCCATTTGCAACAACACGGATGGGTCCTGAGGGCATTATGCTGAGTGAAATAGCCAGACAGGAAAAGATACATACTGCACGGTAGCACTTATACCTAGAGTCTTATTTTTAAGTTAAACTTCTAGAATCAGAGAGTAAAAAGTAGTGGCCAGTGGCTGGACGGTGGAAGAAATAGGATAAAAAGGCTACAGACTTTCAACCCTGGTTGGTATAGTTCAGTGGATTGAATGCAGGCTGTGAACCAAAGGGCTGCCAGTTCAATTCCCAGTCAGGGCACACGCCTGGGTTGTAGGCTAGGTCCCCAGTAGGGGGTGCACAAGAGGCAACCACACATTGATGTTTCTCTCCCTCTTTCTCCCTCCCTTCCCCTCTATCTAAAAATAAATTAAATCTTTTTTTAAGGGGGGGATTTGGGGGTGGGGGCATTGAGCAAAAAAGAAACAGGATTCATGGACATGAACAACAGGGTAGTGATTACTGCAGGGAGGGGAGTATAAGGGGACTAAATGGTAATGGAACAAAATATAATAAAGATTATATTTTTTTTTAAAAAGAAGTTAACTGATAGTGCCTCAAATTGAAAAATCAAGATACATAATTATGAGTACAATCCTTAGGTATTAAGATTCTTAAAAATAGAAGCCCTGGCTGGTGTAGCTCAGTGGATTGAGCTCGGGCCTGCGAACCACACAATCGTGGTTCGATTCCCAGTCAGGGCACATGCCTGGGTTGCAGGCTGGTTCCCTGCAGGCCAGTTCCCAGCAGGGGATGCATGAAAGGCAGCCACACATTGAAGTTTCTCTTCCTCTCTCCTTCCCTTCCCCTCTAAAGATAAATTTTTAAAAAATAGAAGCAACAACTCTAAGAATTGACAGCAGTTGCATCTAAGGAACAAAAATAGTGAGAAGCAAGGTGGAGAAAAGGGTTTTTTACTGCTTTTCGTCCTGAATCTTTGCATCTCTGACATCTTAAATTGTGTACTCTGGAAATAATCAGTTTTATGTTAATTATACCTTTGGATGGTCATCTGAAATTAAGGTTTTCAGAAAGGGTCAAACGTGCTGTAGCTGTAATACTCCAGACAACACACACTAAATGCTCCCTAAAAAATTAGTTATACTGACATTGTGGTTATAATTATAGAGCAACTTATGAATTTGTTTGGCTGCCTTGAGCACTGTGGTCACCTGATAAATGGTAGATTTGGCTTTCATTTTGCTCCTTGTCAACTTATCTTTTGGAGTATGTATGCCTTATTAGTTACTAAATCTTTCTGGGGCATTATTTTTTCTTGCTAACCACTATGCGATTTTAGCTTGAAATATGGGAACATCGGCTACTCGATCTTATGGATTGGGTTTTAAGTTTCAGCTACCAGAAGAGAGAGAGCTAAGGACCAGACAAAGTGGTTAGAGTATAAAAGTGATAGAGCTATTCTTTCCACTTACATTTTGACTATTAACTGATATCAGCCTGAGATACGTTCCACTTGTTTCTCCTGTGCCTCCTTCCATTGACAAGACATGAGCAAGAAAGAAGCAATGAAAGGAATAAGAGCTTAGCTGCTGAGATCAACTTGATAGAAAAAGAGTGAGATGCCAGGTCTCATTGTGAAGATCTTCAGTTTTCTAAGAGTGACCTCTTTTGCCCCCAGTTCTTTATAATGTTGGCAGTGGATGTTCTGGTCCCATTTTTTTGCTGTATTGTTGCGGATTTTTTTCACTGGTATCTAAAAAGGCATTGACCTGCTGTATGCTTCTAGTTCTACATGAGTCTTTCTTTCAAATTATCTGAGTTTATGCATATTCACCTTCTATGGAAATTGTTTAATTAAAGCATCCATCTATGGCTTCACAGCATTGGGGGTTCTCTGGGCCTCACTACAGAAGAAACTGCAATAATAAATCTGTGTGTTTTACTGATTACTCTAGACCACTCTAGTGTTTGTACAATATTTGCAAAAATTAACATTGAGATAATGATAATTACTTTATTCTCTATAATGTGCCAAGATGCTCAGCGTACGTTTTCACCGATTCGCAGGATAAATCAGCATGGGCCATGTAAGCAAGGTTTTAGGCAAAAATGCTGCTTCAATTACTTAAACCTTCCTTAATAATATTTACAAACCCTCGGGTCCTACTATATATTTATTCAGTTTTTAATGGCACTTCTCGAACATGTTACTGAAGTATAATGTGCATACAGAAAAGAGAACACACGCCGAGAGAACTGCGCACTGCTGTGTGCACAGCCAACACCCAGAGCGAGAAGCGGGACTCGGCCTTGCAGTGCCCTTTCTCAATCACTGTCCCCAGGGGAAGCCGCTGCGCTGCCTTTTAAAAATGGGTTTCCCCTGAGGGGCTCTTCTGTACTTTACGAAAACAGAATCACAGAGCATGTAGTCTTCTGGGCCTTGTTTCTCTCACTCACCATCATTTATGTGAAGTTCATCCACATTCCGGAGCATAGCTTCAGTGTACTCATGCTGCGTCCTATTCCATCATTAATATTCACAACATATCTATTCATTCTGCCGTTGGTAGGTGTTTGAGCATTTCCACCTTTAGTTCATAAAGAACAGTGCTGTTGCCAGCATTACAGTACACGTTTCAATGAACACATGTAAACACATGTGTTAGGACATACACAGGAGTGTGTGTCCATATCACAGGATCTGCATGTGTTCAGCTTTAACAGATACTTGCCGACAGTTTTCTGAAGTAGTTGTGTGAAATTTTGACTTTTTGTCTATCGCACATGTATTCAGTGATGTTCTCAGGAAAAGAAACATTGCCAAATCACTGCTTTTTTCACTGCAGGCATCCCGACTGGGAATGATGGTTGTAGAGTAGGAATGCGACCTGTTTAAATGACTTTGCCACATAACATAGAATGCTTTGACACATGAATTACAATGAAAAATTTCTCTTAGGGTTTTGGAGTAAACACTTGGTCATTAGGAATGTTTTCTGACTTATCACAAAGGAAGAAATTTGCCAAAATCTACGTGGAAAGTACATCCAGGCAATGGGCAATTCAGGGGGACACTTTCCCAACAGTCAGCAGGCAGTCGGCAAAGGGCACCAGAGGGACTCCAAAACCCAGAGCCAGGCCGCCTGAGATGGTGCCAGCCCTGCCAACCCTCTGCGACCCTCTGACCTTATCTGAGCCTTTACTTTCTCATCGACAAAACAAAGGTCCTTAATTCACAGTCTGTGAGGATTACATGGACGTACTCCATAGTATGTAGGTCAGGTATAATTATATTAAGTGGGCAGAGCTACTGTTTCACATCAAGGAGCTACAAACATATCCCTGGACCACGCGATTAAATCCTCAAGTGCTTTCCAGTTACTTTCCTCTATCTTGTTTAGCCCTGCTGTCTGTTATCACTGTCTTCGTCTTTAGCATTAGAAGTGTTGCCTAGTTCAACTTCATGGAATTTGACTAAATCATCAACATACCCTGGTGGTCATTAGTTTACTCGCTGGTTTACTGGTTAGTTTACGAGTTGCATTGTAGGTTTTCAGTAGTCGTTTGCCTCCATCTTATCAAATAGTAGTTAAAGGTGTGCAGTCAGGTCCTGGAAGTCCTGTTGGTGGCGTACCTCAGGTAATGTCATCTCTCCCCTAGCCAATACAGAAAGCGCTTCATGTTACACTCAGGACTTTCGTCCTTCGGTGTGGGTTGTTTTGATGTGGCAGAATATGTTTAATAGCCAGCTGAAAAATGCCAACGTGCTCCTCTCCCTCTGGGCCTTTATCAGGGCTAAGGAAAAGATTCTTAATGTATATTAACTTACAAATAGCCCTTTATTTCATTCTATCTTCTTCTCTGTTTTATTTTTCCTGCTTATGTCCCTACATACGCTGCACGCAGTGCGTTTGGCGCAGCTATGCCGCTGACGAGAAGTCTGTTTCCATTGCAACCTGGAAGCCACACTTGAAGGCCTTGCACACCTGCAGCCCGACCAAGTAGGTATCAGTGTGACAGCTGGTGCTGCCGTCCCGTCTCTTCCAGTCTGGAAAACAAACCATGCACAAGCGCACACATGCACTGTGTCTGTTTGGGGCCTATCTGATTCTCTGCTTCTCCTCGAGAGATTCACCCCAGTTCAGTAGCAATCGGGCACAAAACTCAATAGATTCAGTATTGTTCCTCACCGTCCATAGGGGCTTAAAATGAAAGGAAATTAAACTTTTATAGAGATTTACTTCAACTATTTTACGTTTATTTTCTAATTCTCATTTCATACAACCCACCAGAATCCTAAAGGTCAGCACCACTATTTTTGAAAATTATTGGCTGTTTGAACTCCATGCATCACCCAGCCGCCAGCAGGGAGTGCTTTGAGAGCAGTGTATGTTTGCCCACTGAAGTCCCTCAGGGTCATGGCCCATCCAGACCTGCGTGCAGGATGGTCCTTGCACTTTCACTTGTAGATCAAACTAATATCAGTAGCCCAATAAGGAAAGAGTTGGAGTCCTAATAGGATTATAGTTTACTGTGAAGTGATGAGACCAAACATTAAAATTTTGAATTAGCATTCAAAATTCAAAAGTAATATTACTTCCATTCACGTTTCACTGGCCAAAGGAAATCACCCAGCCACGCCCACATTCACAGAGGATGGGAAAGTGAGACCCCGCCACGTGTCTGGAGAAAGAGGAGAACCGAACATTAGGAGCAGTCCTGATGGTTGGTGCCACTGAACTTTGATTTTCAAAAACAAAAAATCCTTAGTCCTGGAATCCTAGACTCCAGTTCAAATAGCAGAGCACATATGAAATCATAATCACCATCTAATTAAAGAAATCTTCTTTGAAACAACCAAAGTAAGTCAAGGTAGAGGCTTTCTGTGAGTCACCCAGCTAGATCACCATGGTCAGCTCCCCAGATGGTTCCAACATTATCAAACTGCTTATCTGACTCAGTATTTTAGAGCACTAGCCATTTCCTTCACAGCCCAACAAAACTTCAGTCCCAGTGGCTTCATAGGATCCAGGCACCTAACCACTGTGACTCAGGCAAACAAACTTCTTTCCTGCTGATGTGGAAGAGAAGTCAGCTGGGGAGACCTTCCTGACATGTCCCCTGGCACTGCAGTCTCTAAGGAGGTGTGTGGTACAGCAGAACACGCACTGCAGAGGGTGGCAGACCATCATCAACTGACAGGTCTGCTATATTGCTTCCCTGTCCTTCCCTGGGCTTCACTTTTCCCATGCTCAAGGTGAAGGACAAGAGCTGGGCAGGCTAACTTGTAAGCTGTAATGGGACATGTCTTCTAAAAGTTGGTGTCCAAACTATGGCAGCACCTGTGATGGAGACAGTCATAGAACGCCAGGGGGTGTTCCATCACCAAGGGGATGCAGCCTTTGCAAGGACAGAAGCGTGGGTGCTGTTGAGTGAATGTATAGGGGAGAAGCCTCTTTTCATTTAGATTTTAAAATTTAGTTATATTTTCTTACTGAGTACTGGACTCTTTCAGAGTTGTAGTATGAAAAAAAAGAATATAACTCTCGTGTCATCTATTCCTTGAAAGTATGAATCAAAAATGGGAATTACGTAAAAACTGTGCTTCTTTTGAAGGTCTCCAGGCCCATGTGTAAGAGAAAGGCTTGTAGAAAAGCCAAAAGCAAGTTCTCAAGTGACCGAAAAGACAGTCTGTTACCATATGTGATGATTTGGCTTCCCACTTCCTCAGCTTTTGGATTAAAACTCATTCTGAAGCCTGGGAAAACTATTTAATAATTAGTCATATTCTTCTGGTGCATAAACTATTATTTTATTCACACACCTTCTTTCTTTTCCTTTGATATGTTTCCTGTTTTAAGGGGGCAGAGGTGGAGGAGAATGTATGTGCACACCCGCATTCACCCTGTCCCACTGTGGCTGCCCGCCAGCCCCTCGCTCTCCTCTCCCCACACCCTGCACGAGCCCCCGGGACTCAGCCCCACTTCCCGAGTAGCAGGTGCCGGCCCAGAACGGCACAGCAGTCACTGGCAACAGCATGGAATCCTGGAGGCCCTAACCTCTCCCTCACCAGCCACGCTTCATTGTCCTAAACCGTGGTGCTTCTTAATCTTTGTTGTTGTTTTTCTTTGTTAAACCATCAAGAATGTGATGGTAATTATGGACTCTTTCCAAAAAAAAAAAAAGAAATGTTTACTGTCTAAAACATGTAAACTTTGCCTACAATTGTAATGTAGTCACAAACCCCCTGAAGCCAAGTTCAGAATCTTCATTCTGGAAAGCAAACCTGCTTTAATCAAGTGTGTGGGTTTGTGAGGGAAATCATTTACAGTGACTTAGAGGGATGTTTTTAGATTTACAAAGCTAAGTGACTTTAGGAGCACAAAGTGGTATATAGAGAAACAGCTCAAAACTTATTCCTATTTACATAGTGTACTTTCCTATAACATTTAGGGCTTAAAAACTTCTAAAGGGACAGGTCATTCATTCATGCATGCACTCATTATACAAGGATTTATTCAGTATTTACTATGTCCAAGGCACTGGGAATGAAACAGTGGAACAGAAAAACAAACAGGTTAGAATCTCTGGCCTTGGGAGTATATATTCAAAGGTTTCTGGGAAGAGACAATAAAAATAAATAAGTAAAATATATAATAGATTAGATGGTGATGAGTGCTAAAGAGAAAAGTAAAGTAGGGAAGGAATTTAGGAAGCATCGGGGGCTGCAATTTTAACAGGTTGTTGGTCAACAAAGAGATCATATTACCAATAGCAATTATCATCGTCGTCATCATCGTCATTAAAAAACACCAACCGCACTCTTGTTCCCCACAGTTTTACAGATACAGTGGGATGACCTGCCCCTACAACCTCATCCGAGGGAGTAAGACAGGAGGGCGGTATGAGAACTGTGCAGGGAGAGAGGAGCAGGGTGAGGTCTGTGAAGTGCCCGCTCCACCTGCCGGGGATACACTCCGCCGTCTCCTACCCTCCTCTCGGGGCTGGTCTGTCTCTTACATTTCTTTTGAGGTCTCTGCAGTTGCTATTTCAAAATCTTGTTTCAATAACAAAAGTATTTATAGAGGGAACATATTTTTCTTGGTTTTCTTCTCAAAGGGAATGAAGGCTATGCAAAAGGTTGAAACACGGGCAAACATGCTGTTTTAGGGAATGTGTCAAATAGTTTATGACGCTATGGGGAATTACCAAGTGCCAAGGATGCCCAGTGGTATCTTAAGAATTGGGAATTTAGATATTATCCAATGCAATGCCTTCAATTTATTCATAAGAAAATCCAGACCCACAAGAGAGTGAGGTGTCTGCCCAAGGACACACAGATCATTTGCACCACGTCCCATAGACCTGAATTTGCTAAACTGGGTAATTAAAAACACCACCTAATAATAGGCTAGAAGCACTCTAACAGATTTTCTATGTGACTAATGTGCTCCAAGAGATTTCATACTTTATACAGTAGGGAAACATCCAAATGCCTCAACAAGAGATTGAGGTACAAATCACACAGTAATGAATCGAGAAAGTCTGGGTAAAGCACAGGGACCACAGCTGCAGTGTCGCCAGCACTGTTCCAAGATGCTCTGCTAGTGCCGGTTAGATCAGAACTGCCTCGTCATAACCCTGGGTAACCCTGGCTGTTGAAGAGTCTATACTTCTTAGTTACATATAGGCAATATTGTTTTTCGCTAAGTAGATAATGCTATGCTATCTCTGGTCTGTGCCACAAAGAATATATGTTTACAAGTTGGGTACATTTATTATAAAAAAATTGCTTCCATGGATCTTGTCTGAAAAGGATTACTTAAGGTATTTGAGTCCTCAATCTCCAATTTGGTCATTGCCAAGTGCTATAAATGTATTCACCACTTTGTCATCATTTCTCTTCTGTCTGCACGCACCTGAAGGAAAGAACAAGGGGAAACAACAAGCAGGTTTGTGCTCTCTTCTGCTACATGTTTGTTTATGTATCTGTGCCTAACAGATGTTTTAAATGTGTTTCATGTGAGTAAAATCGATCAACAAATACAAGATGATTAAAAGTGACCTTTTACAAGATTGCTTGCAGAGGTTGCTGTTTCATTGATCCCCTTTACCCCCTTAGGAGCAGAAGTGTCTTCCCCTAACTCATTCATTGCTTGTTACAATCTGCCGGGTATGGGACATTCTCGGGGCAAAATAATATGTACAGTCTTTGGCTATTCCTTGCTACCATTTTCCCAGACAGAAGTCATATCCAAGTATTTAAATCCCGAGCAGTATAAGATATATTCCCTTCCTCGGGGTCCTTCTTTTAGAGTAAGAAATTGGTTTGGGTTGCTTGATTTATTTGTTTGTTTCTGGAAAAAGGAACACTGTGTACAGAAGGTGACAACAGTCTCTCTGTGGCATGTACAGCTCAGTGAGCACTGAAGTTTACTCAGGTGACCTGATTCAAAAGAAGAGTCCCCCCAACCCCTAAACTTTAGGAAGAAGATAATCCTTCCAGAAAGTTTAACAAATAATTGGGGGTCATTCTTCCAAGCCTTATAAGGGAAAGCTTTATCAGAACAAACAGCAAAGATTTACACCTAGAGAGAATAAGCAGTGAGTAACACACTTTAATCTGTATTACTGAGTACCAGTAAGGACCCAAGGGTCTGGGTTTGGGAGCAGACCCCTAGAGAAGAGAGCCAGGTGATGGAGTGAGAAAGTAGCAGAGGCCAAACCAGCAGGAGACTCCCAGGTGCCTGGTGGGAGGAAGGGACACAAGTCTCTTGCCTTTTATTGCCACTTGCTTCCCTAATGAAGCAACAAAAGCATCCTCTGCCCAGGGTTAGCCTCTGAATGGGGGCCAATGTGGGTCCAGAAATTGTTCCTTTAGCTTTGTTAAAGTAATGGCATTAATCATGATCTATTTATTCAGTACTGAAACTAGTTTTGAAAGTTCACTTTGGGTGAGGACACTCTGGGTCACCCATTCCGGCATTCTATTAACACTTAAGAAGATTCACACACCAAACCATAAATGCATTCATCTATGATGGGTGATAGACCAGGTAGGATGTTCAACATCAAGCAGCTCGTCAGGGTACGTGAGCCTACACTGGGGAGGCCATTAGAGCCCCTTCTCTCATTTGGCAGAAACAGAGTTGGAGCAGACTCTGCCATCCTTCTGTTATGAACACTTTCCTTGAAAAAACTTACACCAAATAAATCATAGGCATTATAAGCCATTTTAGTGTCTTTGGTGATATTTGAAAAGCTTTCCTTGTCCCAGGAGTTATCCTTTTACAAATTATCTCAAAAAGTGATTCGTCTCCAATTGTTAAGGTCTTTGGCACAAATCTCATAGCCACCTGAGAGTAAGGTCACCGGTTTTGATTGCATCCTCCAAAACAGGGCTGGTGACACCTAGAGGGAAAGTTTGTAAATCGCGTGGATGGTCTTGCCAAAGCGTGACCTCTGTGGTAGTCCTGAGTGAGGGGTCCCCTTGGGCTGACACAATGATATTGTACCGTTTCCAAATGTCAGCAGGGCAGAGAGCAATGGCAGAATTAAAAGGAAGCTATTGAGCTTCAGCCCCTCAGTCCAAAATGAACCTCCCAGTCAGCTCAAGATTCAAAAGTCTACCAACCAAGTTTTTAAAATTTCATGATGCTCATATATCATTGCAACATTAAAATTTATTCTGCATATGTGTGGCTGAGGTTGGCAAAGATAATCCACCTGAGGGTTTGAATATGCACAGAATAACTGAGCTAAGTTATTGACTTAGATAGAGAATAACACAGAGAGTTCTTCCTTCTCTGTGGTCATTGGACATTTGGCAAAAACCACCTGAAGACACTTCATGTATTACTATTTAGCACACATACCCCACTTACTGCTTCATACTCTTAGGTCTTCTATTCCCCAAGTACATATCACAACACCTCGTACAAAGCTTTGACAGAGAATGTGCTCAGCAAATAATTCTTACATAGTGTGATCCAATGCTGCTGATCTCAAGTAGTTTGTGTAAAGAGGGATAAAACATCAACAAAAATGGCAGACACATATAAAAACAAAATAAATAAAACTTAAAAACACTTCAATAATCTGAGGGAGAAGAGCTGAAGCTCCCATTTTAATATTACCTTAGCTTTCACCTTGTTGTGTTCCATACATAGGTAAGGAAACTTATAAAACTGCATAATAAATGCAGAAAGACTACTGTAATAACAATAGCAACGGTGCCATCGTAGGAAATGACAAATTGGCCCTCACTCAACCAAAATAGGCACAAAGGAAAATGCATTTATAATGAGAATTCTCCCTTAGCAGGGAACAGATCTGGATCCAGAATATTGTTGATTAACACTTGGCCCAATTTCAGTTGGAATGATAAACACCACCCAAGTGCACAGCCTTTTGCAGTTTGGGGCCATCGGGTTATTGGTGATTCAGATAAGCAAAATAAATACCCTTCAGCCCACTCACTAGGGATCTCAAAGTCCATAATCCCTTAAAATCCTTCCTCCTGGTGTTTCATTGTGTTAAGAACTGGTAGCAACCCAAGTGTAGATGTGTTTAGTGCAGCAGCCAATACCGCTGTCCTGGGTGCCTGGCACTCACTCCCTCTGACTGAGAAGGCCATAGTCGTAGACAGGGCTCTGAATGGAGAGGGTTTTCTCTCTGAAGAATAGATGGAGACCTCACTCTCTTAGCTAGGTTCTCTGCTCTGGAATGCTCTTGTTAAAGAGATTTTGTCTTTGTGCACTGGGGATAGGGTACGTTTAAACAAAACCCATTCCAAATTAGGGCACTGAGAAAGACACCCAATTCTGACATAGCTTAGCATTATTTGTGACAGATCCAAATTTTTTCTTTAAAAATACAAATCATCAGTCTCAAGAAAAGCTCAACTGAACAACAGTGAAAAAATAATGTTTCTTCGACTCTTTTTGGTAGAGGGTCAGGTACCAATCGCTGTTAGTCTCAACTGAGCCTGCTCTGTTCTTTGTCTACTGAGACCATAAATACAACTTCTTAAACATCATTTAATTATTCCTTTTCCTCTGTCTTCCCACTAAAACAGTTCTAATCTCATGAATATGTTTATTAATTTATCCTAATAGCTCATTCTATTAAGTAATCTTTTCAACTCACTCCTTATACTGGACAGTTTTTCTTTGTTTTGGTATAAACTGTCACTTTCAAAGAACAGAATCAGCCTACAAACCCACCCAGCCAGATTAAGCCAGTGTTCTCACCTTGAAGTTTTATGTGCTCATCCCACCTTCCTTGACAAGGAGATCAGGTAGCCACCAAGTAGTTTGTGAATTCATCATTGCGCTGCTACAAGAAGGCTTCTACTTCTTCCTACCTGTTAAGTTTTTATTGCTACAAGAACGGATCATACCCTCAGAGTTTCGGGGATTACCCATAAAGCTGACTGCCTCTGCCTACCCTGTCTCCTTAGTCAACCATCGTTGAATGTAAGCTTCGCCATTAAGCTGCCTCCCTTGCAGTTTATGAGGAGTGAACAGAACTCTGTCAGACTTTTGGTAGACTACCTACAGTTGTTTTAACAAGTACTTGTGAGACTATTATAAAGTTGCATGTCATAAAAGTTAAAGCATAAATGAAAATGTTATTGTTATTACATTACAATATTGTGCTGTGACCCGCTTTGTCCTCTATGGTTGGCTTTATCAGGCTTTGAGGAGATGTGTGGCTCCTAGGAGAGAAGACCATGCTGCTATATTTCTTCCACATTCACTTTCCATTATTTAAATTTCCTTTCTTCTGTCGGCAGTGAATGAGCTGCATGTGTTGTTACATGCGGGAAGATCAGGCTTTTATTTTCAGCAGAGTCAACATGTGCAGTTATTGGCAAAATGTTAGATTATTTCAAAATTTTTTCAAAATGATTTCTTCTTCTGTTCTCATTTATTGATAGATGGAAAGAAAACACACCATAAGACTTAAAATGAGAAACTTTTTTTCTATTGAACTAGCAACTTGGAATCGTTTCTTCTGCCTTTTGAACATATATTCAGTCTGACAATCCATTATCTATAGTAACTATAACTCTGAGTGTTTCATACAAATCAAAATTTTTTATTTCAAAGCAATTAATGTTATCAACTTCATTGATTTCTGTAAATATTTTTTGAAGCTCTGAAATATTTTTTTCTCAGTCATTTATACTATATTGCATTGCTATTAATTACAAGGGTTGCTGTGTTCTAAAATATTTATATTTCTATTTTCATATGAATCAGATGCTAACACATACACTACCATCATTTGTAATGCCTATTCCAAATCTAATTATTTCAACCTAACCATTAACAGCACTAGGTATATATCTTGAGCAGCACTCAATTAAACTACATAGTAATTACTGCTTAAATACTCTATATACTTATATCTGAAAAAACTATAACCAAATAACTTTGTTTTTTAAAATGGAAAATAAAAGCCCTCGGCACTTTCCTGGTGGTGAAATGCTTAGTAATGTGCTACTCTATTTCCCTCACTCCTAGTGAGTTCTGTAGTAGTAAGCAGAAGCTCTTCAGAATGCACACCACACGGAAGCAGAGGTACCCAGCATCCCAGCTATTGCCATGAGACTTGAGAATGCCAACTAACCTCAGGTGCATGACCAGGTTACAGCGCCACCCTACTTGAGCCCTGTTCAGAGACTCACTCTTCCTAAGGACTTCTCGAATGAGGTTTTCAACCCGCTTGTGGTTTTCCTTGTTGCCTGTTGCCTGCTTTGATACTCTCCGTCCTTAGGACACGTTTGTCCTCTTGGCAGGGTCCTGCGCAGTACTGGCAGTCAGCCCCTTGGCGCCTCCTTGTGGTGGGACAACTGCTGAGCTGCTGCACGCACTGGCTTGTTAACGGCTCACTTGCCATGTTGTGCCTGAGGCGAGAATTTGTAGAATGCTTATCCTGTGAAGGGCTAAAATGCTAATTAAGTATAACAAGAACTACAGAATTCTAAGTCCAAGAGGATTACTGTGGGTTTACAGTGATGCCACACAGTTCCCTGGCAGGAAATATCCAGCAGTAGACTACACGCTGGGCCCATTTGAGTAACTGGTACATCTGGCTCCTAGAGAGGGAAGAATTTCCATGCAGAGGGGTTGTGCGGACCCCCTGAGTACACTCCTCAGCCGGGGGTGTGGGACTGCACACTAAGCGCTGCAATCAATGACCACAACAGCCCTTTGGTGACTCACTCCCCAAGGAGGCCCCCTTGTTTCCTGAGGATAATCCTTGGCATTCTTCCTAAAAACAATGTCACATAAATCTTCCTCAAAAATCATGTTTATTGATGTCAGACACACACCAAAAGTAATAATCATAATAATAAAACACAACAGGAAAATAATGAAAACTTCAGTGGGCCAGTGAGGAATCTATATTTTTTAATCAATGTGTATTTTTAATAACAGCCAACTAATTGGTTTAATAGCTGTCTAATCAAGATGCTCTGTTGATATCCAAAGGGGAAATGAAGTAGAAAAACTAATGAAAGCGAGCTTCTTGTCAGAGGACACAAGACCAGATCTTCGCCTCGGAAAAGAAGATGTTGCCTGGCAAAAAAAATGCCTGAATTAGGATCTCATTCTTAACTTTCATATATTATGTCCAAAGAGAGAGTGAAAATATTACATTTTTTTAATTTAGTGTTTCTAATATGTTGCATTCCCTTTAAAATAGTTCTTGAGAATTTTTTGAATAGTAGACATGGGCAAATTTCAAGTAATTTAGAAGGACAAAGGGGAAATGGTACCCAGAATTTATTTATATCAACTTTAAGTGCTTTAAAAGGTACTAAGATTCAGAGAATAAAAATACTTTCACTTTCCATTAATTCTTAGAAACAATATCAAAATATTTCAAAGGGGCAATTGTTAAAAAATATTTTCACGGGAGCAATTGTTTTTCAATATGCCATTGTTATAAATAAGCTGTGGTGGATTTGATGCTGATACTTATCTTGGGTTTTTTCCCTTTTTTAGCAATTGAAATTTTTTAAGGAAAAATTAAAGTTCATATCAAATGGTTTTATGATGTATTTATCAGTTTCCTGTTCATTTAATAGGCCTAGGAAAGAGAGAGATCTTGAGAATCTGAGAAAATAATTTTATGTTAACTAAAACGCAGCCTTCTGCAGTAATTAGATTCTGTTAGTTCCAGAAAAAGGTAATCAATTAGATAAAGAATAGTGAGAACGCTTGCAGTGAAAGCTATGTCAACGTAAGCCATTCATTAATCTAAATAAAGGTGCAGAGGTAAGCATATGTTCCTGAAACAGCTCATCATAAATTTCAGTGATGGAACAGATGTGCTAACACTGAAAAGAGATTTGAAATTTTTACAACAAAGAGAAAAATAAAGCTTGAGAAGAGTAGACATTTTGGACACTGTCCCTTGAAGGATTTCTGTAAATGATTTGAAGGCTTTGGATGCCATGGAGAACCTAGCCTGAGACAGAAAGATGCAGTTTTATGATATTGTTTCTGTTGTTCAATGTAATCTACTGTTTAACCACCTGCTTGTCAGTACAGACAGGGCCTATGCTGATGGGATGGTTGTAAAGGGCTCTCGAACCCGCCTGACCCCATCGCAGAGCTGCCCAGCCTGTTCTTTGCATGTGCCTTCAGCTAGTTGTGCTGGATTTAGCTACGTCTGTGTTTCTGAGGGGGGCTCTCAGTTGCATGGTCAACTTGTTTATTGTTACCAGGACTTTTTGATCACCATGGCTCATTTTTTTATTTGTTTTCACGTAAACACACATAAAACGTGGTTAGAGTATCATTTGTTAAGCAACTAGGCATGGAAAAATAAATGTTACTGTTTCTTGTTAGCTGCAAAACACATATCCACTAAACACATTTGCTGTTGGCATGCTGCAGTTGGGGACAGTGGACATTGCGGTAAGTGGAAAAGACAAGGCCTCCACTTCGTCTCAGATAATCTGTGTCCGTGAGAACTCTGCCTCCGCGCCCCACAAAGGCTGCAGCCGTACCATAGCTCCCTGAGTCTCAGAGCAGCCTCCCCAGCTGACTCTGCTCCAACCCATCATCCTTCATTTCCTCGGGCCCCCAAAAGTTCTGCCCTCTCACTCGATAACAGTGTCACTTTCTAACAAATAACGCACTGTTTGCAAGTGAAACAAGAACACAAAGAAAATGGGTCCTCAAAGCTTCTTACAGTTCGTTCGACTCCCACAAAAGTCCCTTAGCTGCGCTGTTATTTTTGTCTCCACGTGAGAGATGAGGACTTCAAAACCAAGTCTCTGGGATTCCCACTTGTCTTCCCCCCACCAGCATACCCCATCTCTCGATTAGAAAAACATAGAGATGCACTCTGGATTCTGCTGTTGTCGCTAATGCTTCCTTAGTCAGCCCACAGCAGTCCAGTCCTAGCTGGCACCTGAGAACTGAATATCCGAACAAATGTAATTTACTAGTAGCTGCCACAGCAAATCAATACACCTGTTTGATAGCAGGAAACTGTGTTAGTGAACATAACATCTCATTCCATTAATCAGTCATCATCCATTACGTGTTGGGGCTGTTCTACCTGGCGTGGTTTTGTCTCACAAGAATGAATGTAAACGCAATAGAAGTGTGATGTTAAGTGTCGTATGTTTAACATTATGTATGCAGTGCTACCAACCGCTGTGGGAGCGCATGAACTTATGGAGACTATACCCTTGCCTGGAACATCGAATGCATGCAGAATGTAGACATGTATGAATATGTAACTGTCTCCCTGTTTTCCTGTAGAAATACAGAGATATGCTCCCAAATTTTTAAAACAAAAAAATAACTTTCTTCTAAATCACAAGTTTTGAGGTTAAAGCTAAAATCTGTTTTGAAAGGGAACACCATACCAGTTCTTGGGTATTTCCAGTGTAATCTGTGTACAAACTACTGTACTTGACTTCAGACCTTTCTATGAAGCATCCAGGAAGGGTGTGTATACCTATAGTGTGAGACTGACTTCAAATGAATGTAAACAGAGAGATTGAGCAAAGTTCAAATCTTTAATATAAGAAAAATATATTTCTATGCTCCAACTTGCTGCAAACATTTTATTTATTGAAATGTATATGACCATATACCATTTCATCAAATTATTTACCCATGTGGGATGGAAGACATTGCTTGAAATGGAATAATCAATTGTACCTCTGTTGTCCACAGTCAGAAGCTAAGTTTTAAGGAGCGGGTGCGCATGGCCAGCCCAAGAGGCCAGAGTATTAAGAGCAGACAAGCCTCAGTAGGTGACAGGAGGTCCCCGAGCACTGACATCACAGCTGAGGGCAGCCCCACCAAAGTGCAGAAGAGCTGGAGCTTCAACGACCGCACCCGCTTCCGGCCCTCACTGCGCCTCAAAAGTTCTCAGCCAAAACCGATGATAGACGGTAAGCCCTGCTTTTCCGTAACCATTTTTAATTTGACAGGTTGTAGTGAGTGAGATTATGAAGTAATTAATTCTCCATGGTGCCACCTGAAGTAGAAGGCAACAACCTCAGGGAAAGAATCGCTTGTTTGTTTTATTGGAAAATTATTCATGGCCTTGAGCAAATGTACGAAACATATGTTTACTCTTGGAAGTAACTTTGGCAGCCAAATCTAAATTTCAAAGGAATCAAACAAAATGTTGTTAATCTTGTATTCATATCTGCAACACATTATTATTCATAAGACCAGGTCTAGGTCAAGACCAGCTTGACTGTCCTTCTGAAGTGCAGGTTCTGTGTGGCCAGCAGAGGCCCAACGCCCAGATCCAGTGCTCTGCGAACGTCTTGAAATACACTAGGAATGACAGCACCTTTGGGGGCAAAAGTAAGGTGTCATTGTCCTTTCCACTGTGCTCTGTTCGCTACTAAATCAGAGACCACTGCTTATTCCCCCTTAGAAAAATTCCTGTTACAAGTTCTTATCTGACGATAAGTGGAATTCAAGTCCTCCCAGGAGGAATTAACCTATTTTATTTATCATACTATGTGGCAGAAGCCTACTTGCCAAGACATTTTATTGAGTGCCACATAATTTTCATGTTTATGAAATAAAACATTTTCTTTTTCATTTAAGATTGGCTTGGCTTTCCTTCTAAGTATGTCCCCTGGGATTTCTCACACTGGGCAAAACACCAAAATCAAATAGTATCTTCCATTTATGCATGAAAACTGTGAAGGCTGTCAGTTCTTCTCTCTCCTTCCCTTCCACAACCTGTATTTTCCCAGGCCCTGAAAGCCTAGGGGATAAAATTAACAACAACCAGGCATCATAATCACAGTAATCCTGGGTTCCCTGTAGTTAAATCCCTGAAATCCCAGTGCATGGGTCCCTTCCAGCCCATCCAGAGATCCTCAGGGACATCTCCACTCTCAAGTGAGTGACACAAGTCCCCCCTTCCCACTTCTTCATTCTCCACAGTCCCATGGACACCATGCTCTCCAAATAGACGGCTAGCAGCTGGCCCGATGTGGCCCTTCGGGCAGGGCTTGCAGCTCCCACCTCAGCTGCAGGTCATGCTGATCCTGCCAGTTCCCCCCCCCCACCTGTCACTTTGCTAAGGTAGGAAGTGGCCCCTCTACCAGCCCTGGACACTTCTGCATCAACCCCTGGCAACACAGATTGTCAGTGTCCTCTCATTTCCACACTCTCCTCCCTAGGAATTTGGCTGAAAGCCTCTGAACAGCTGAGTCAAGAGTTACCAGTTACAGGGCTTTATGTTGCTCTCAAAATAGACTTTCTGAATATAAATGAATCCGTCCTTTCTGGAAGGCAGTTTGGCAACATATATCAAAAGCCTTTACATAAGCCTAAGCTTGGGTACATCCCACCCACCGATTCTACTTCTAGGATATAATCGATACAAAGAAATAATAGCAGACTTTGGTAATAATGTTATAAATTTAAAATTATTGACATATTGGCACGAAGAGATGACCACAAAAAAGTAAATTATTCCAATTTGCTGTATGTGTGTGTGCGTGTGAATTTATGTATTTTATAATAAAACGTCTGGGAAGATTTTCAGTGTATGGAGTTACCTGCACATTATGAAATCATAGTTATGTTTTGTTTCTCCATTTTGTTCACCTGTATTTCCTCCAAACCCCTCCCCTTAACGTTGACTCCTCCCAAGTGGAAGGAGCAGCAGGTCCGAGTGCTGGGGATCCGCCCCCCTGACTGTAGACATAAATTGCCTGATGAGGTTCATCAGCTCCTAGGACAAATAGAGCTGCTGGATTGGGCTCTGTGGCTGCCATAAAGTGCCACAGACTGGATGGCTTAAACAAAAGAAATTTATTTTTTCACATTTCTGCAGGCTAGAAGCCTGAGGTCTTGGTTTGTAGATGGCCACCTTCTCCCTGTGTCTTCACTTTATCTGTGTCCAGGTTTCCCTTTTATAAGGATGCCACTCATTTTGAAGCATGGCCTGTGCAGATGAGCCCATTTTAACCTAATTATCTCTTTAAAGATTCTATCTCCCAATAGAGTGGCATTCTGAGGTACTGGGGACTAGAACTGCAACATGTCAATTTGGGACTGCATAGTCCAGCCCAGAGCAGAGCCCCAGCTCGCCACACCTGCGGCATCTCCAGGCAAGCTGGGCCATGCCTGTGTCTCCACACCCACCTCTGGGTTCACACTGCGAGAAGCATGCGTTACCCACAATGGGTCCAAACACTTCCAGCCTGAGCTTCAAACAGCATCCAACCTTGTGCTGTGAGGTCCTTACAGCTAGCTGGGCACATCTAAAAATAATATTTAAAGAATCTGGATTCTGAATGTGAAAAATGAATTCTACTTGTATGTTTGGCCAGTGGGAAAGCATTTTGCAAGGACTCCTAGAGTCAGTACTATCCATCACAGTATTTTCAGTTACTGCAAAGGTGTCACAGAGGGCAGACAGACAGAAACAGAAGTCCTATTCTCTGCCAGACCACAAATTGGAAAGGTCTCCTGCCATTCATTTTCTACATCATTCCATACAAGCGCAGCTCTGTTTCATTAGAAAGGAACTGCTTTTCTCGGGCTGATGTCCGTCTCAGTTGGTTCTGAGCTCCCCAAGTGGCTGGAGGCCTGATTGCTATTCCGTTGACATAGGGATGTTGGCTGCCCACCTGGAAGAGACCATGATTCCTGACTCCTCATTTATCCAGTAGTCTGGAATCCTTACCACTGATTTAACTCAAGATTAGGTCTTAGGTAAAGAGAAGTTCTCTTTTCATACCAAAAAAAAAACACCTGAAGTAAGTTTAATTGCAGTAAACTTTACTCCTGAATTATACAGTTTTATTTATAGTGCCTCTCCCGGTTTCAAGTATTTCTAAAAACCAACTTACTACTCATAGAAAATAATATATAACACTATAGCCAATTCCCAAATACAGAGTAAAACCAAAGTAGGTTTACAGTTGTTTGTAAGGAAAAAATACAATAGTTAATAAATAATAATACAAGAATAAATCCTGTTTCACATACAACTATAAACCTAACTTGGCCCCACCCGTATTCCAGATCCATTTGTTCATTCCCTTCTAGGGTTCCTTTTCCTACTTCTCTCACTCCTGCGTGTATTGTCGGAATCTCATCACCCACCGACAGCTCGGGGAGAGAGCATGAACAGCAGAAAGAGTCATGGAACTTCGGGCTGGCCTTAAGTTAACAACCAAGTTACATTTGGAAAATAATGGGCCTGTAATATGAAAACAAAAGAAATTTGGGATTAATCTGTAAATTTTAACAACTACTGTGAAATCTCATAGCCTTTACTGCAGGTGTTATTATTTTTATAGTTTAATGATGCTTTAAAAAAATTATAAAATAATTCATGCTGTCTTCCTTTACTGTAACTTTGGGTGAAATGCAAAGTTACAGTATTATACTTACAAAGGGCACAGTTGCCTCCTAATAGCCCCCACTCGTGCCCACCAGGGAAGCGGGCAGTGTTGAAGCCAGAAATTTACAAAGGGCAAGAAGGGGAGAAGTAAACTGGGAGGGACTGGGGTGGTATCGCCGCAGCAAACTTATTTTCATCAATATGATGTGAGTAGTACCTTTAGTTTATAAATCCAATAATAAGAGATAGAAATATTTCATTAATCAGTAAATAGGAGTTAAGCCTCTTCACATAATTTTTTTAATTAGGTAGGATCTGACTTCAGGTTCCACAGGTAAGTGCAGTCATGTGCTTTTTCTTTCTCTGACTGGCTTACTTCACTCAGATAACATCCTCCAGGCTCACCCATGTTGTTGCAAACAGCGAGATGTCTTTCTTTTTTAAGAATATATAATACTCTATTGTATAATATATACAATGTACCATAACTTCATTTCACTGTGTATGTGTATATCAAATCATCATGCTGTATAATTTAAACCTATACAACTTTATTTTTAAATAAAATAGAAATTAGGTAAGATAAATGATATTTTTATCCTAATGTATAAGAGTAATAATGATAAAAGTAACATTCATCGGATCCTTGTCAGTGGCAGGCATTCTCCTAAAGGCTTCACTTTCATTATTTCATTTAATTGTTTCAGTATGTCTATAAAGTAAATACATGATTAGCCCCATTTTATGGCTGAGACACCTGAGACTTGGAAGCTAAGTAACTTGGCCAAAAAAAGTCTGACAGATACAGGTAAGGGAGCTGTGGTATGGACCTGGCAGTCTTATTTCACAGTCCTCCCGGAGGTCACCCTCTCAAATCTGCTCCCACAGGGCATATTGATTTGCTTTTAAGAATCTTTAATATCTTCTTTCTCCCCACTACCTCCCCCCATCTGCTCTCACTCTTCCAGCTTCAATTGGTCAGATCCTCTTCCCATACAAACCATTTGACCTTGTCACTATCCCATCCCGTTTTTCTCCCAACCTCAGCTGCCAGACTTCTGAACTACATCACCTTCAAAGACTGTCAGAGCTAGGAGATTAGGCAAATTGGGGAAATGACCTCTAGATGACAAGTATCTGGGAAGAGACTCAGAATAGCAGCTGCATTGGGCTGTGTCTGTTTACCTACGAGGGAAGCAAATGGTGGTCATCTAAGGCCTATTTCAAGAGGCAAAAGGTTTGTCAAGAGATGGACATCTGTCAACAACAGACTAGCAAATGGAAAGTGGCAAAATGCAAGTAAAAGGGATACCGAGCAGCCAAAACTGACAAGAATGAAACTAAAGTACAGCTAGGGGAAAGTCCGGATTTCCAGCGACCGCTTTGCTACCTAGGACTGCTGTACTTGCTGGACCCTGCTGTGCTTGGGAACACCTTTCAGAAGTACACTCAGTACAAGCATCTTTATAGAGAAGGATAAGGCGGTAGTCTGAGGTAGTTCCACCATGTAGTGCATGAAAAAAATCTGTCCTAACATTGTTTTCACTTCAGGGGAATATATCAGTG